TGGACCCCCGGGGTCCTTTTTCCCCCACCTAAGAACTAGCGCGCCGTGAGGAAATTCCCAAGGGTAAAAAGAGGAAGGGCAAAAGGGGGGGATGGGAGGAGGAGGGGAATGGAAAAAGGGGGGAAAGGGGAGGGGGGTGGGGGGGGAAAGGGGGTTTTTAGGGGCGGTCTGGGAAAAAAGACCGACAGGTTTTCCCCAGACCAAGAGCCTCTTCACCGCCAAAAGGGGGCCCCCTTGAAAAGGAATAAGAGACCAGGTTTGTTTTGAGTATTTTTTTTTGTTAGGAATCTTTATGTAGGTTTTCCTCGTTTAGTTTTAGTAAGTTTTTTTTATTTTATATGTTTCTTACTTTTTTTTGGGGTTAGTCATTATGTTTTTAAAATGTATAATGTATTTTCTGTGTTTTTAAATAAAAATAAAAAAAAAGTCCCCCGTATTTACCCCCTCAACCCGCGCCATATTTAAAAAAAAAAGGAAAACTTCCAATCGCCCAGAGAGGGCGCGGGGGCGCATTTCGGTTTACACCAACAGACGGCAGAAAATTTTCTTTGTGGTAAAATTAAATTGGGGGCAAGGGAAGGTTTTTTTACCCTTTGCCGGATAGGTCTTGTATTTTATTTGCTGTTATGTACTTTTTTAAATAAATAATAAAAAAAAAAAATTTCCCAAAACTGCATTTTCTGTTACAGTTTGCAATACTTTTCACTCACTTTTTAATTTCATTATTTCCAAACAATAACTATATTTTAAAGTCTCACCGTTTTACTTAAGACGAAAAAAATAAAATTGTACTGCTTTTAATATTGTGAAAATAAAATGAAACTACAGATTTTTTATTATTGGAATGGAAAAGTATATTTAGGTACTTTTTTCTTTTTTTTTTTTTTTTTTATTAAAAAAGGGACAAAATTACAAATATAAAAAAATAAAAAAACACATTAATTAGCCATTTCAAAATAAAAATGATCTAGTGCCCCAACCCCCCTTTCCGACCCTAAGTGTTCCCAATGATTCGTTTTAAAAGGGTTTAAAAAATCCCCTAAAAATAAAAAAGAGCATAAAATCCTGTTTCCAAAAAAATACACTAACAGAATTTAAACCTACAATACCCTCCTGTTACATTTGTACAATAAAACCCCCCTTGCAAAAAGCACACAGGAAAATGAAAAACATGGGAAATAAAAACATTTACTTTAAAATTAATGAAAAAAAAGGGCCAAACCTAAGCCTTCAATAAAATTGCCAAGACAAAACCACCTTTAATAGGGTCCCGCAAAGTGCTGAACCGTTTTAACGGGAATAAAATAGCGAGAGCTCCACCCAGGAAAAAAACCTTTTAAAACACAAACAAAGTTTAAAATTTTAATTTCACGCTCAAAACCAACCCCCCACTGCTTGTTAAAAAAGGGCCCCCTTTGGGCCAAAATTTTGCACTGAAAATGCCCACACAACCTACAAATTTTTAAAAAACGGGAAACATTGACCAAAAACTTTTAGGCAAAACAAAGCCTATAATAAAAAATTTCATTAGGGAAATTTTCACAAGGGGAAACCCCCCCTTTAAACAGGGGCCAAGACACACCCGAAATTTAAAGATTTAACATTGGTATACAATAAAATCCATAAAAAATAACACATTGTTCCCCAATCGCTTCGGGCCGGGTGCGGACCGTGCGCGGGGACGCCCCGGGATTGAGTTGGTTTTTGGTGCAGTTTCCTGTTTGGCTGCCCCCCCCTGGCTTTTAAGCTGGTGAAAACTTTTTTTTCCCAAACTTTGGTGCGGGCTTAGCGGGCAGGCGCATAAACCGCGTTATTTGCCCCTTGGGGTTTCCCACGGGAGCCAGAGGGGATTTGTTTTCCCCGGCGATTACCCCGTGTCCTACGGTATCGCAAATGAAGAGAAATTGTGGTGAGAAATTTAATGGGACGACACGGTCTTCTTTAAAATTTGACGCCCGAAAATTTGACACGAAGGGGGTTGAGAAAGATCAAGGCCCTTTAAATACCGCCCAATTCAGCGTATCAGAAACGTCTTCATGAGAAATTGGGCCTTTTACACAGGGGTTTAAAAAAAATCAAAAAATGTGCCTTGAGGCGACGGGTTTGTTAAAAAAAGATGTCTACAAATTATGGTAGGGGTTCATAGGGCCTCTGAAAGGTCGGGGGGGCCGCTGGCCCTTATGCGGGAAATTTGTTTAAAACATTTTCCCAGTCAAAATGCCCTTTAAACGCCACCCTCCCACCCCTTTGTTATGTTGAAAGCATTTCGAATAAATTTCCCTGAAAACAAAATGGGGGGAAAATTTCGTACGTGTGGGCTGGGGTCGTATAAACCACAAGGGGCGAAGTGTGGAAAGCGCGCGGGAATCCCCAAAACTATCGCAACAGCAAAAATGGGGAAGAGGTCGAGGAAGGTGAGGGGACGAGAGAAAGTCTTATCCCTAACCTGTCTCAAACAACAGTATCTTGGAGCGTTTGGGGTTTAAGAAAAAGCACGGGAGAATGCTTTGGATGGCAAACAGCGGGGAGAATCACCTTCTTTGGGGCTTTAAATAAAGTTTTTGAAGAACTCTGCCCACTAGGGGGAAAGGGATGTAGTGGCTCTTTAGTGAAGGCACTGGATTTTTTTGTTGGGCGATTTCGATCGCCCAACCGTGGGAGGATAAAGGGTGTTTTTGGGGGGGATCGGTTTGAGTTTAGGGTTTGGGTACAGAGGGAAGCATTGGTTTTAGTGTGTTAAAGGTATAGGGTGAATGTAGCAAAAGGTGGGGGGTGCATCACGTATTTACAAAAGAAACGGGTTTTCAGCCGACGGGGTTTACACCTCCCCAAAAGGCCAGGGAAAAAGTTTTGGGGCAGATTTTACAGGGGAAAAAGGGGAATATGAAACCAAACAAAAAAGGGTTTTTATCAAGGGGGTTAAAAAAAAGGGGGGAAAGGGATGGGGCTTTTGTTAAAATGTATAAGGGGAAAAGTCAATACCAAAGAACAAAAGGAAAAAACCCCATTAAAACTGACGGGTTTTTTGCCCAATAAATATTAGGTTTGGGGAGATCTGAGCGGAAGCGAAAGGGTTTAATAAATTTTTTTGGGGAGGTCTAGATGTGGATGTGGAAATTTTTTCTCCAAAAACCAAAATTTAAAAATTTTGGAAAAGGGTTGAAATGGTGGTTACGATGTGTATATGGAATATCAGGTTAAAAAGGGGGGGTCGCCATTCTGGTAAAAAAAAATAGGGCCCCTTTGTAGTACGGCATAGTGAAAGGGGGGGGGGGGAGAGTGATTAGGGTGGATGGGGTTTTTTGGGGTAGAGAAAACATAAGGGTTTTTGGGTTGTATAGGGGCCCCCCGGGGGGAGATGTATGACTTAAAAAAACCCCAAAATTTTTACAAGAGTATTAGTTTATTTTTCTACTTTGTTTTCCCCAAAAGTAGCAAAAAATAGGGGGCGACTGGGAAATTTTGTAATTCGCCCAAAGGATGTGGAGCCCCGAGGAGGGGGGTTTTTTTTCTTGGGGTTCCTGGGGAAATTTTTTGACGATGTGGGGTTTTTTGGGGGTGTGTGGATGGGGAGGGGGGGGGCATGGTGGAGCATACTTTCATTAGACAGATTATGGGGGTGAGATTGGATAGAATGTACTGTCTTGTGCGGGTTTCAGTTGGAGGGGTGAAAAGTGATAAAAGTGGTTTTATCGGATCATTTGAGGGGTTGTAATGGATGTAGATATTGAGGGGTGCCTAGGGGGGGTCCCCTCATTTTGGGAAAATTTAAAGTAAAGTTTTTTTGAAGAGAAGGAAAGTCGTTTGTTTTTGGGGAAAATTTTGGGGAACGCCCCAGTGGTTTTAAACACCTGGGGATGTGGGTTTGGGTTTAAATTTGGGGGGGGGAAACATAGCCCCAAAGCGGGAAATTTAAAGGGAAAATTTTTAGTGGGGTGAGGATATAATCGTTTCTATGGTTTCCCCCCGATTAAATTTTGAGGGGAATTGCGCGGGCTGCTAAGTACAAGCGAATGCTAATTTTCCCGTTTTAGAAAAATTTAAAGAATTAAGGAGCACTAAGAAATTTTTCAAAAAGAAAAAGGTTTTTATGGGGGAAAAGGGTTTTAAAGGGGGGAAACGAAGGGTTTTGTGGGGGGATCGGCCTCGGCGTGTGTGTTGAGGAATCAACAAAGACGTCGAAGGAAAAAAGGAGTTAATTTGGGGGTTAATGTTCAGGTAGGTATGGGGGGTATAGAGTGAATCAGGTGTTGACAACGAAAGGAGGGTATGATTTGGGGATATTGATGCTTGGGTTTTTAAATTTAAAAAAGCAAAGTGTTGGGAAAAAGTGAAAATTTCATTCAGTAATCGGTGGTTTGTGCAGTGTGGGGCTGATGGAGCTTTAACGTTTGATGTTGGGAGGGCCGATAAAGGGTGTGAGGGGTTGGGGGGCTTTATTGGGGGCAATTGGGTAAAAGGGGGCCGGAATTTATGGGTTGCCCCCGGGGACTTTTTCTTTAAAATTTTTAAAAGTTTTAAAGGGGTTTTTGGGACGTTTTTATTGAAACAGTCAAAATTTGGGTTTCCCCACAAAAGGACGGGGGAAGAAACCCCCCCAATGAAACTATTCAGGTACTCCCTTTCCAAATAACTAAATCCCAAACTTAAGATCAAATTGTTGATGGCTGGGGCAAAAGAAACCTAAACCCCCCTATTGAAACACAAATTAAATTTATCCTTGACATGTAAAATTACTCCTGGGGAAAGTTTTGTAAAAATATTACAATCCTTTTCTATATAAGGAAATACACTTAAAAGGAAAAATACACAGAAGTACAATTACACACATTCTGAGTGATTACAATCGTTTTACTTATAACAGTTGTGTAAATTACCAAAGACAACCCAAAAAATCGGAGTTACTTATTTCCATTGGGGTCCTTGTAACATCTTACTATCAGCAGAGGAGTCCAACATAATATCGGGGGGGGGCAGGGGGGGTAAGAGAGGTGACGAGGGAGACGGGGAGGAGCACAGAGTCAGTCAGCTTGGACCTTCCGTGCTATCAACAACTCGTCGGTAATTTATTAACCTTTTTATTTATTGTTGGGATTTTGAGTGATATGATAATAAGAGTTAATCTTAACATAAGATATATTTGGCTACGTTTTGTGGTTTTAATATAAATTATTTTTGGAATATTATCTCTAACATTTTATTATATATCGACTTTAACCTTAACTTCAGAAGTTTAGCTCTGTCCCCTTCTTTCCTGAACCCCTCAAGGGAGGTTCGTTGACTTTTTTGATCTAGGGAATTGGATATGTACTCCAGTTCCCTGAATAGCTTGAATACTTTTTATTCCTTCCCCCCCCCCCACATGTTGTATAATCCTACGGGTTTAGCGCTTTCCTGTGATTATAATTCTTTGCTGAACTTAAATACAGCAGATTTCAACATGGCTGATAACTTCGATGAAACGGCTGCTGGGAGCTCTTTCTGGAAGAGACTGAAGCAACTTCCAATTGTTGAAGATTCACTCGCTTTGTACCAAAGTGCACAGGTTAGTATTATCGATAGCAAGTTGTTGTTTACACACCACCCCAGCTATTCTCTTAATTCCTTCCAGCACCATATTAGTTAATAACTTGACAATCCTCTTAGGGTATTCCTTTAAGTTACTCTTTGGGCTTCTGACTGAACTTCCTTTAGTGTATGGTGAAGCTTAAGCCCTAGCCTTGATTCATACTTGGCAGGTCTTTCCCCCCCCCCCCCAAAAAAAAAAAAAAATCAATATTTTGCATAACTTCAACTGTCGCTTTATGTTTACAGCTTAACCTGCCTTTATTCCACTATCCTTCATGTACATTAAAGTCTAGTGTATTTAGGTCTTCTATCCTTTACTCGTCCCTACCCAAATTTAATAAATTTTTTATTTCGTGTCCTAAACTCTCCACTAGCGCTTCCCGCTCTAAATTATCCCTTTAAGGAAAGTAATTCTTTTATTGGCTTAAAAACCCTATTCGATCTTCCCACCCACATCAATTAACACATTTCCTTCTAATTTCCATTAGACCTACAAAAGTGTAGCAGTGGTTGCAAATGTGGCTGACAGCAGTATACAAACAGCCTCTAAAATATTTCCCATGACAACATTGCTGCGTCCTGTAGGTGGATGGCAAGCTATAAACCAGTGGGCTTGCCAGGGACTAGATAAAGTGCAAGCTTGGGCACCCATTATCTCCAAGCCTACTACAGAGGTAACTATCTAAACTTCAACTTGAAGAAAACGTATCCTTAATGTGATGTAAACCCTTCATACATAACCTAATTGCTTATCTTTCAGGCAATGGGAGACGTTAAAGGAAAGCTACTGAAGGTAGTAGCTAGAGATAAACCTGCTGAATCTATAACAGATGCTCTAGTTATCAGAGCTGAAGAAGCTGTAAGTAAATTTTCTACATTTTAAATTAATACTTTCTGCCTGGCTTTAATAAATTCTTGATTACTCTTTCAATACTGAACCTTCCTGCCCCTACATGCCTTAGACTTCACGTATTTTAGTAAACTATGCTAATCAACTAAATGTCCAACCAGGTTATGCTGCTGAACGACTACAGTGGTGGACGTATAGCTGTGAACTTTGCTACTATTTTAGTAGACAATGCAAACACCTTCGTTGACGCTTTCCTTCCCCCAGTCGAAGGAGAATTGAAAGAATTGGGTAAGGGCTAGTAGTTCCTTCACCCCCCCCCCTTTTATATTGCGTGTGTAATATATATATTTTATATATAATATACACACACACCTGTATTATATATGTATAGGCACTCCTCGTACTAGACTGTATAGCCCTTGTGGCTTAGCGCTTTGGTTATAATCATCCTCATACTGGACTATTTCGCAGACTCTGCTGCGAAACTTTTGGGACCCAAAAGGGTTCAGCTCTGGCACTAAAAACTAGTCTGCGAATCTACCGCACTCTCCACACTTTCGTGCATCCTGATGCTAGCTGTATGGATTTTTCAACTATCCACCTCGTAAGTAGTTTACCTTCCTCCCCAACACCTGTCCCATAGCCACATGCTTTAAGCTCTTTAATGTAATTTAGTCTACGTGAAGCCTCAAATGTTCGCAATTTGAATTATAATCTACTAGACTTTCCTAATTTAATATAATGCGTACATGGGGGCGCGTGCGGCCCCCCTTTTTTTTTTTTCCACTTTTGGTGTGGGCCTCAAATACTGAATTTTTTTTCTAGTTAGTAGGTGTATATTTTTCATCATAAAATGCTTAAGCACTGTATAACCCTTAAATCTACCAATTGTAAGAATAAAAATTGAAATAAGCTAGTTACTCTTTAGAGTTCAAGAGCTTTAGAAAATCTTTCAGATGAAGTTCCTTACTTTCCTCTGCTAAACAATGGGTTCAGAACATCCGCACTTAGAACTCCCTCTGCGTAAACTTGGGCAAACGTTCAGGTCTCATTCTTGGCTATCCATCCAACGGAAAGGCTTACTCCTTTACCTCAGTTTATTTGAGTAATGCAATTCGCCCTTCATCAGCAGCTGAAATACGTACCTAAGCTCACGCGACTTTGCTGTTAAACTTAATCCATGTGAAAGCTCTCGTGGTTTCCATTGGAGATTGGATGAAGACTGCAATATATAACAGAGGTTAGTTGAAAATTATTTTAGACTCAGTTCCTAAAATTTCACTAGCTTAGTGATTTACCTTCAGGTTTAAATTGGTAACGAGTGATTGTGAATTAACTACCTAGATATTAACAACATAATAGTAAATTGATTTAGATTGCTATAAAATTTCTTTTCACTTTCCAGGTTTCTCGCTGAAACATTCTACTAAAAGAGTCCTTAGTCAGCAACTAAAACGAATCTCCTGAAATGGAGCTGTTCCCAATGCCTCTGTTACAGACATTACATCTATGTAAGGAATTAAGGAAGAACAAATGGCTGTGTAAAGCCTTTAAACTGAACTGCAACTCCAAATATCTTCCGCGTTCGGGCATTCTTCGCATGATATTCCGACATCCACTCCTCGCCAAGCCAGCTTGCGAGACATTGCAAAAGCTAGGTTTATGAAAGTCCACAATTCATTTAGGCTTTTCAGCTAACTATGCTAGAAAGTTTGGCGTTTCATTAGTTCTGGTAAATTACTCTAACTTTTGATAGAGAATTTATTAATAAATAAATGCAGTTTTACTTAGTCCTTAATTTTCAGGTATCCTAATTAGCGACCTTCCAGAAAATTTGTGAGTCTGTGAAGACACTTGAAATTTCGCCTTTACTTTTTAGCTTGTGGTACTTGTAACAACTAGACTGAAAAGAAATTCCTAAAATGGCATTCAGGTTAGCGTTAAAAAATCCAAGATGGGGTAGCCCCCCCCCCATATCTCCATTTCCAATTTGCTATAACCCGGTACTAACAATATCCAAGCTTAAGTAAATTTTTCTACTGTCCCACACTTTCATTCATCCCAAAGAACTAAATCTGTAGTCTTCAGTCGCTCTCTTCGTCTGTAACAGTGTATGCTTCATATAGGTACCATCCTATATACTGACAATAAGGGGCAAAGGAAAACGTGTTGCAGCATCCAGTACTAGATTACAATACTTAACTTCACAACAAATGAGTGCCCCAGTGTTACTATCTACAAAAAGATTGAGGGACTAAGTTGCCTTAGAGACCCGTAAAAGTCATCTACTAAATTTGAATAGTCCTCGAAGTAGGTTATGACAATTCTTTAACCCGATTTTTTTTTCTCTCCAAACCGCAGAGTTAAGTCATCTTCACTGAGGATCGGAGCAAATGTCTCGGCTGTGCGTCGTCTGGACCTCAACGCCTGATAAAAAACAGTACGCAACATGCCTGTAAATTAAGACTGCAAAGAAACACAGTGTTCTAAGAGGCTTTGCCCAGGAGAATAGATTAACACTTCACTACACACAAGCCATAACCAATACATGACGCGCCCCCCCCCCTAATCTCCACCCCCCCTCCCCTGTTCTCTCCTTAAAGAACCTTGTGGTAAAGAGGCTATTGGTCTGAGGACAAACAGCCTGTTCCTCTCTCCCATCCTCTAGTTTTCACGGCCTTCAGATCCCCCCTCGGGATAATTCTTGGCTCCTAGAAAAGTAATGGTATCTTTATCCATTCCATAGGTTTGCTGTAGAATCTGGATAATTTAGGGATACCTCCCCTATGTTTAATTTCAGTGAACAGGTGTAACTCTGGAGACTGCCTGTCATTTCTGGAGGTGTTTCCTCTGAAGAGGATTCCTGTGGCATGTATCAGACTGCCCTCTTGTTCCCCGAGTAGTTACTGGCATGAAGGGTAGGGTAAATTGGAAGTTTCAATTCCACATCTGCACTACTGGTCTCTCCTGAGTCCTCTTGGACAAGGAGGGGAATTTGACCCTCTCTTTCCTCCTAGGAGCTATAACCTCCATTCATTCCCTTTAGGTCATAATATTCCCATAGTTCCAGAGCCAAAAGGACTTGCTACCCACCACGAGGGGGGGGGGGGTGGGCCCTTTTCTGCTGTACTCGAACTACCTAATGTCGAACTTTCTTTGCACTCTTACGCCCCCAGTACGCATCTACAGGCATTTCTTTTGCCCACTCTTGATTCTGAAGTTTCCGCCGGACTCCTTGATGCATCTGATCTCTGCACGACTTTACCCACATGTTGCACTTCCCACTATTAAGTTTTCAGATCTATCCAATCTCCGGTTAGACCATCCTCTGGTCCCACACCTAAAAGACCACGACCAATTACCAGTATTTAAATTCTCTAATTCTTCCCAGGAAAAAAGTGCACCTCACTCCCATAGTCCCTCAAAGTACACAAGTTGGCCAAATGTTTTTTCCTTCTGCAATAGACATCCTACTCAATTATACTATAAGCAAGGCAACTCCTGAGTTGGTAAAAGAATAGTTACCTGTCTGTTAACAGTGCCGTATAGTCACGTTTGAAATGCTGGACAAGGCTCGCAGTCTTTCAACTTTAGCTCCCCCCTTAGTTTCAAAAAGTCCGGAATTCGAGACCCAGCTTGTTCTTCTGGTTACTCGTGTTGTCACACCTTGAAAGTTCCGCCGGATATTGAAAATCTTTTCAATCTCTAAAAGGCTTCATTTATGCCAGTTTCCCTCCAAACCTACCATTGTTACTGCCCTTTAGACTTCTCGTTAGCAGAAGACCTTGTTGCCTTTTACTTCTAGAATTAGTCTGCAATTTCTGCTTAGCCGAATCATCGGCCCCAGTTGAACAGACGCATACCAATGCTTCCGTATTTGTCAGCCTTTGGTAGTTCTCTTGTAATTTCAAAATTTACTCGCTAGTCAATTACCATTGTTCAGCATTTTCGATGAATCTGGTACTTCTGGACATGCTTCAACACACGCTCCCATTGCTCTTAGTAAGTATCAATATGAAAGATGGGAACGGTTGTAAATAAGTTATGGTATTTAAAGTGTCTTGCCTTGGTCAAAATGGGCTTTCGTAAAGGCTACCTATTGACGGCTTGCCTCTACTTTACGATACGTTCGTAATGCCATTTTGCAATAACTACAATAATAAAATTTTTAAACGGGCATAAGGACTACCTGGAGGTACAAGCTTGGCCTAAGCCCCCCCCCTCAAGGAAGGTTCCTTGAATGTTGGTGAGGGCTCTGATTTAGGGAAATGATCTGTGCTCGCTCCAGTTCCCCGAATTAAGCCTGATGGCCTTCCTCATACCCCCCCCATGCTCTGTATAATCCTCCGGGTTTAGCGCCTGTCCCCCCTTGATTATAATAAAATCTGGCCCAAGCCCCTCCCTTAGGCCTGCAATGCAATCTGACCATTTTTTTATCTTCTAATCAAGTTTTCAAAGGATGGAGGGCAGATTGTAGAGCTCTTACTGTGATCAGATCCCTAATTTTTAAATAGAAATGGAGAATGGTGACCAGAAATATTAAGCCGGTCCGCTTTATATACGTGTATCCCATCCATCAACGATTAGCGTTTGTCTAGGTTTTCATTCCTCAACTGTCGAGAGCGTATATGCAGAGGCGTATGTTCCCATCCTTGAAAGATTTTTGAGATGCGCACTCTCGGCCTATTTTGTGCCCCCTCGTGGCCCTCACGATCCGTCTACACGCAGGACTAATGACATGATTAGAAGTTCATTTGTTCGACACCCGTGTTACTGTCCCTTGTCTGTCTTCACCCGCTCTTGATACATTTTCCACTTTTAGAATGTACTTAGAGCATTTAGCTTTTCTCTACCCCCGTGGGAGGTTCAGACACTATTCATCCCGAATCAGTTGTGGCAAAAAACTCAAATACCTACAGTGGCTTCTGCTCTTTTCTTGACGCACGTCCGGTCTAGGGCCATTGCAGTTTACAGATGGTTGTAAATGCTTTGACAGTTTGCATGCAGTTCCCAGACAGTGCAGTACGATTTCATTATATTCAGTAGCATGCTTCAGTTGAACTGCACGCAGTTAACCATATTTGTCAATGCGTACTTCATATTTTGTGTAATCACGGACTTCCTTTAGGTGGCTTTGCAAAGATATCAAAAAGTACAGTTCTTTACCCCTAGGACTCAGTATGTAACTTAGTTTCGCTCTTTCTATCAAAAACCAAAAAAATTAAACTGTGGGTGTCTCCAAGATGTCAGGCAGTGAGGTAGGCAGACTGCTACCCAATCAGCGGTACACAACCTTTGTTTCATAGGTTTTTTCAGATCTCAAATTTC